TTATTTGACCGTGATTCCTCCAAATTATAAAAATTACATTACTCAAATTTTTTTTAATCAATATAGTAATTCATGTGTACTCAAATAATTTATATAAATATTATTTTTATTTTTACTAATGATTAAATCTTGAAAATGTGGTATGTCCATTATCTAGAATTTTAATATAAAATTCACATATCTTGAAAATGTGATATGTTTATTATCTAAAATTTTAATATTAAATTCACATATCTTGAAATGTGAAATGTTTATCATCTGTAATTTTTATATTGAATTCACACATATTACTTATAATATTTTATGTACATCTGTGCATATGCACAGGATGATAACTAGTATATATAATTGCTAGCTAATCATTAAATAAAACCTCATAAATAAAACCTAATTAATAAAATCTCATTTATTTTCCCTCCAAAATAAGTTACAAAATTTGTCATTTATATTTTGCCTTTCACATTAATACACCCATATTAAGTGTAATCATGTAAAAAATTAATAGCATTAACTATTATATAATATAATAGCAAAAAAATAGCATTAACTACTATAATAATAATAATAATATTAATAATAATAATAATAATAATAATACTAATACTAATAATAATAATAATAAAAATATCTTAAAATAATAAAATTGTTTATACTTATGTAATTTATATTTAGTGTGAAATATTATGAGTTGTAATAGCAATAACTATTATATAATATAATAGCAAAAATATACATGATTACATTTAATAGGGTGTATTAATGTAAAAGACAAAATATGAATGACAAATTTTGTAACTTCTTTTGGAGGAAAAATAAATGAGGTTTTATTAATTAAGTTTTATAAATACATGATTACTCTTAATTAAGTTTTATGAATGATATTATTATTATTATTATTATTATTATTATTATTATTTTAATTTTGTATTTCATGAAATAATTTACTTTAGAAACAATTAGTAAATAGTTTTAATAGTATAGTAAAAAAAAATTAAAATCAAATAAGAATAGGAATAATAATAATTATTATTATTATTATAATAATAATAATAATAATAATAATAATAATAAAGTTTTCAAGTAAATTATTTGATCATGATCCCTCCAAATTATAAAAATTACATTACCCACAATTTTTTTTAATCAATATAGTGATTCACATGTACTCAAATAATTTAAATAAATATAATTTTATTTTTACTAATGATTAAATCTTAAAAATTTGGTATGTCCTTTATCTAGAATTTTAATATTAAATTCACATATTTTGAAAATGTGATATGTTTATCATCTATAATTTTAATATTAAATTCACACATATTACTTACAATATTTTATGTACATATGTGCATGTGCACAGGATGATAACTAGTTCAAATAATAGAAGACATATTTATGTTTCTTTAATTTCATTTATTTAGAAAATTTATCTTGTTTGTAAAAGTTGACTACATTCTTACTATACTTGGAAATTGATTAAATGGAAATTTTTTTTACCATTGATTGTTATTTGAATCCTACA